AAGTTTGCCTTCATTCCCCCTTTTCAGACAATTTACATGAATCAATGTCAGTCCTATGACCGTTCATACCGACAGGTTTATTCAGTGGAGGGTTTTGTTTCTATTTATGTTCAGATGAATTTAATTAGTTTGGAAATAGGTGTTTGGTTTGGTTGATGTTAACTAGTCTCTTTTGTGTATTAGGTTGATTCATTTATTGATGTTTATCCTTGTTTTTCAAAAAGTGTAAAAAAAAAATCCTATTCATTCATTCATTGATTCATTCATTCATTCATCTAAAAATGGAACAACAGAGGGCCTGCCCAAAAATATACAAAAGCTTGAAATGGATGTAAAACAATTTCACAAAGAATTTGAGTCACTTGGTCACATGACCTGGAATCTATTGAAGAAAAGTCCCAACCTTTGTCTTTAAAATATCTTAAAAATTGAAAATAGCTTAAAATTGCGTAAAAGCAAGTGTGCCTTACGTGTGTTATCTATTGGCATGATTTTATTAGTTTAGTCCTTGCTGGTCATAAGATAAGGAATTTATTGATTTTTGTTTCTCCAGAGTGCTTGGTTCAAAGATTTGTTGACGGTCCCTAACTGCACCACCTTGTGCTGAGAGACACTGGCCGACATCAGAGACCCTCAATCGGATCAACCGTTTCCTAGATCCCGCTGACTCCGCGGAGCTTGAATATCCAATATCCAAACCAGCTTCACCGCAGTTCTGCACCAATGCAGTGACCAAAATCCCGGACGAATTTGAAAATTCCCCTTGGACAGGCATGAAAAGTAGGACATGTCCAGGAAAAAGAGGAAGTGTGGTCACCCTTCAGTAGCAGCAATTCAAAATGTTCCTTCCAGTCAAACACCAGCCGAATAGCAGCCCACTTCCCTGCAGCTCCCAGCAAAATCCCCTCCAACTTCCAGCCACTGCAGTGACCCCCCCTTGCATATTTTTTACTCTGACTCCACCCTTTCACCGAATTACAGAGTCTGACCAGGAGATGATGCTTCTGTTTAGATCTTAATGTCCACAAATCATGACAGAAAGAATAATTTAGTACAAAGACTGATGTTTAAAAAGGAATTATAGGGGACCAGCCAAGGACCAGCCCAGGGCCAGCAAAGGGCCAACAAAGGGCCAACCAAGGACCAGCCAAGGAAAGGGGGAAAATTTCTATTGGCCACTATCTGTTGCTTTGTTTCAATCAGCGGGTCCTTGATCTGCAAACCTTTAAAGTTTTTCCTCTTCGTCTCTGAAGACATTTTTATGAATGACCATCTACGTCTTCATTCACTGACGCGTGGGAAATTATAGCCTTATATGGAATTATCAGGGCGCTAATTATGCAGATTTTTATTCCTCAGAATGCGCCTCACTTACAGTTTTCACATCGCTAAGAAGCGCTTCAAATACTTTCACTAAACTCTTAACCCAGACTCACACCTACACAACACAACTGGCCAAATGGATCATGTTGTTCTCAAAAACACATTTTGTTAAATATATACTAACTCTTCATTTCAAAATAAAACACATTTTCTCTGCACACACTATCTTTACCAAACTGAAAATCTGACTCAAAATTAAATTACTCTGTCCAAGAATGACACTTGTTTTCACATCACAAAGTAAATGCAGTCAATCAAAGTACATCAGGTTTAAAATACTGGCTATTGATGACATTACAAAAACTACCTAGACTTTTATGTTTCAGTTTTATAGGTATTTGCAAGCAAAACATGCATTCCACCGTTTTTACACTAAATTTCTTTGTTGGTAACTGTATGTCCATAAATACAGAAATGTTCCAGTAAAAAGCAAATCCGTTTTTTTCCCTTTACTGTTTACTACAGGAGGTACAGTAGAAACACAGTTTGATAGAACAGAAAAAGTTTTACAATATTTCTTACGGTAATCAAAATATCCGTGAAATACACAAGACTGTTGTGAACAAAAAAACAAACAAAAAAAGTTAAATATTGGGGGAACTAAAAAAAAATAAAAAGCACAACATTGCTGTATTTTATCTGTGTGATCTTCAGGGTTAGGCCACATGTTTTCGTCAACATCACATCTGATATTATCCAAGGCGATGCACCTGGGATAAAACAGCTTGATATGTCGGATCCACCCATGACAACCCTGAACTTTGATGTCCCTGCAGCCGGCATCCATGGCTTCAAGGAGGGACATCTGGTCATATGGCTGATGGTCACAACCTTCCACCTCCATGCTGAAATGAACTCCTCTATGGGGTTGAGGAAAGGTGAAATGGGTGGAAGGAAGAGACTTAGCAGTCTTGGGTGAACTTCAAACCATGTTGTTGCTTGATGATTGGCCTGTAGTTGGCCCAATTTACCCAACATAAATCAGCTGTGTGTCAATTATTTAAATGTATTTATTATCAGCCAAGATATATTGTTTTCAAGCTGATACCATTGCAGAAACAGAGGTTTTTATAAAATTTATAAAATTGCTCAAAATTGCCTGATGTAATTGCCGTATGTCGACGTGAACCACATGTATATATGTATATATAAAACGTACCCATAACTTATCCAACATGTGGCAGCGTTTTTGAGAGATTTTTCATACATCAGGCACCTGCTGGTCTAAATCATCAAGGTGTGACTGCGGCTTACAGTAAGCTGCTGCTAAACAAAAATCACTGTCGGAAAGCTGTATGAACGAAATTATGTTTTGTTCTCACTCTGTGTATACAAAATGACAATAAAGTTTGTCTACGTCTTAAGTCTAAAAAGCAGAGAGAGCAGAACGTTAGAGATTGAACTAACAGATTCTGCAGAGTGGGAGAATAGAGATAGAATGAAGCAGAATGATGAAAAAGGGGTCCCTATGTCCTCCAGCAGTCTAAGCCTATAGCAGCAGAACTATAGAGATAGATCAGGATAACCTGAGCCACTCTAACTAGAAGCTTTATCAAAAAGGAAAGTTTTAAGCCTAGCCTTAAAAGTAGACAGGGTGTCTGCCTCACGGAATAAAACTGGTAGTTGATTCCTTTTTGTTTTATCTATTTATTGCCCTGTGGTTTGACTTAGCCTGTTGACCACAGAGGAATGTAATGGTGATGAAACATTTAAATACTTTATTTTTGAAAAACAAACTGCCTTTTTTTTATTATTTGTGACAGAACCTGTCAGTGCTAACAGAGATCACACTTTGGATTAAATGTGATAAAGTAAATCTGTGATTAAAACTTCATATAAAATGAAATTAAATGTCAGAGAGAAATGATGATGTAATCTGGCTTCAGTTCCCCTCGGTCACCATCTATGTTACTAATTTCCTCTTTATTTACCCGAATGGATGAGTCAGAGTTGGTCTGAACACAAACACATTTCCGCAAGTTTGATTTTGATTAATCGCAACCTTTGCGTGGAAAGTAGAGTAGACAAGCCTCAGACTCTGTTCAGAGTTTAGCAAGCTTGATAAATGAGACCTCTGGTAGGGGCGGCCAGTAATGGGTCAGTGGTGACCATGCCCCCCCCCATCTCCGTTCATATAATGTTTGCAAAGAGCATCAACGTCAGAAGCTGACCTCAACTGTTGTACTGTAGAACATATGGTATCCGTTTCAAAATCTTTACTAATGGTTTTAGATCAGAGGAACATGGAGCACGGTTCTGAAGAGGGAAGGTTTTCTCTTGCAGGAAGTCGTCTCTCAGACCGATCAGCAGTGTGTTTAAAAAGACTGCTCATCATTTGCTCTGCAGCAGTTTTACAAAGCCAGGGGTTCATGGCACATCCTGAAGCTCCACAGCTTTTCAGATCACAATGGAGAATTCCTTCAGTAAGTCTGCCTTCGTAGGACGATGACAAAGGCCCCCTACTTATTGGCTGAGGACAAAGGTGTAACGACACAAGCAACTTTATCTGGGTGGCCTCCATATGAAGTACAACACCCCATCTCTCCAGGATGGCTGTGACTCCATCCTGTTTGACTCATCTCTGTTTCTGTTTGCTTTTAAAACTTCACTTCCCTTGTTGTAAGGTTTTAAACGCTGCACAAAGTTTTACAAACATCTATCAGTAGATTTCTTGGAGATAAAACCAAGGCAAGACAGAATGACTCCAGATATGTGTTTTTTTTTGCTTTATAATTTCTTTAAGCTGTCAGGCATGTTCTCCTGCATTAGTGTCCTTAGCTCCCTCTATGCTTCCTTTCATCACCGCCTACCTTTAGGTTTGCAATTCACTCTTACTTAAAGCGAGAAAGAAACTCAGAAATCACTGGTATCTGTAGAACAGAGTTTTTATAAACTACCTCAGACAGCACAGTCACAGCCACCATTAGTTTTCTCCTGTAGAAACATTTACAGCAGTTACAGCTGGTCAACATGCAGCCAAAGATGGATGATGTCCTCCTTAATGTCTAAATAAACACCTTTTCCTAACAACAATAAACAGATAATTCAACAGTAGAAGAGTTAGATCAGCCTCTGGTTAACTGTGGGTTCAATCTTAATCTTACAATAGCTGCCCACTAGGTGGCAGCCTGTAGAGGCACACGCTGATCTCTAGATCAGTGGAGGCAAACCTCCAGTAAAGTGCCTACATGCAGGTATTTGAAATCATTTAAAGGCTGTTAAGTGTGACAGAGATTCACAGGCAGTCTCAAATGGACCCACTCTGCTATAATCAGTGTTCTTCTCTGGTCTTTCAATTGACTGAATCCTCTTTGTGTTTTTCTAAATGCTACAGAACTCAACGCAGTGTTAAATTAATACTTTTTGAATGGCTTTCCTAATCATATTTTAGAACTTTTATTGTTCATAAATGATGCCTGTAGAGGAGGAGTTTGGAAGTGGTGTAATTGTAAATTGGTGTCATCCTAACTGAGCAGTGAGGATCAGCTGTGAGGCATTTAGCTGATGAGGTAGAGGGAGGAGTTTAAAAGCCTGCAGACCATCAGGCCTGTATGCAGCAATGGAGTCCAGGCAGCTCTTTGTGTTCAGCGCTCTTCTTGCATGTGTTGGTCTGAGTGATGGTTTCCTGCTTGGTATGAAACCACTGAGCTACTGGGGGGCTGTGATGCAGACTCCTGAAGCAGTGCCGGCCCAGTCAGCAGCAGACCCTGTGAAGGAGCCCTTCAGTCTGTTTGCTAGGCCTGCTGATGTCTTCCATTCCAAATGGATCCAGGCTGCAGGCCACCAAAACAAATGGAGGTTTCCAGAAGGTCCGGCGGCTCCGGTGAGCAAGCGTCCCGTGGAGCTGAAGGTGGAGCAGCCAGTACCGTCCAGCAGGGTGGCTGTGAGGTGTGGAGAGAGTAAGATCCATGTGGAGGTGAAGCAGGACCTCCTGGGCCTTGGCAAGCTGGTGGATCCAGAGGAGATCACGCTGGGAGGCTGCCCGGCTGCTGGCATCGACCGCCTTGCTCATGTGCTGATCTTTGAATCGGAGCTACATGACTGTGGCAGCACCCTGGAGGTATGAAGTTCTCTCTACAGAATATCACAACTGATCTGGTTTCATTGAGCTGCTCTAACCATGTGGCTCCCTCTGCAGGTATCTCAGGATGGCCTCATTTATACCTTCAAGCTGATCTACAACCCCAAGATATTTGCCAGGAGTCCCATCATTAGGAGCCAAAGAACAGAAATTGATGTGGAGTGTCGCTACAGCAACTAACCCAGGAGCAGCTCTGAGCCTCACTGGGAGGCTGCTGCAGACCATTACTGGCTCATGGAAATAAAATGTTTAACAGATCTTCTCTGGTTCTCTGCTGTAAAAGTGGTTTGCATTCCTAAAAATCATTTCTGATCTAATCACTTTGTGGCACTAAATGGCATTTGATGCCAATAAGATCAATTTTTACTTAGTAGATTGCATCTACTGGAGTGGTTGACTTTGCAGGACACACTGTAGCAACTAACCTTAAGAACCAGGTTACTGTATGCAGGCTTTGAGTAAACGGACACTACTGCAGGAATATGGCCTCTAATGGCTCAGTCTAGAAAAGCAATGTTGAATTCTTGCGTCAAAGCAAATTGAAAGGGAGCTTATTCAGTTTCAGTAAAAGCTGAACCCGTTCCTATGAATGGGAGAGGAAAACGGTTCTAAACACCTTGGAAATGGAAGTTTACCGAAGCAGCCAGGCTGATATTTCTCTCAAAGATCCAGTCTCTGCTAAATGGAACTGGAACAGGTGAGAAAAGCATCACATGGGTGTATGATGCAAAATTGGAGGTTAGAATGTTGCAGAGGAAAAGTGGACCATCTGTCCTCCATCAGCTTTGGCCTATAGCAGCATAATTATGTTGATGGCTCAGGATAATGGGAGCCACTAAGTTTTAGCAAAAAGGAAAGTTTGAAGCTTAGTCTTAAAGTCACTGCATGAGTATTTTGGTTTCATTTTAAAGCTGAAGCTCAGAGTACGGACCAGGCTCAGTAAATCCAGTCCGACCAACAGCTAGTTGTGTAAATATGGGGAGTAACTGCGAATCGATGCAGTTGGTCTGTGAGAGGGGGGCTTACCATTGGGCAATACGAGGCAGTTGCCTGGGGGCCCCATAAAACTGTTTACATGTATTGATACAACTACTTTTTTGTGCACCTTTCTAATAAAAATCCTTTCACTAAAATGTGATCAGAATGCTTGTGTTGCTTAGTGTATCTATCACTCCTTTAGTCATCTGAGTACAAAACATGGAGGAAAAGGGACAAAGTGTAGAACAAATCTGTCAAAATGTCTGTATCTGTATAATGGTTTTGTTTTTTGTCGTCTTCTCAGTTCAGAGGGGCCCCTGCCTGTCTCTTCCTAGGGCCCCAAATTTCCTAAATCCACCCCTGTGTGAGGAGCCTGAGCCAGGACATAGGTTAAACATCTACTGTATGTTCAGCACAGCCAGATTTGCATGTAGAGCTGACTAAACTCTGATGCACTACCCCTGCAGCTGCAGGATGGGCTCACACACCTATAGGTCTGTGTATAATATATAGCTCACATAGATTTATTCAAACTCAAATATTTTGAATTCTGAATGCTTAAAAACCAAACCACATACAGCTGTGGCTCCGTCCTGACTTTGAATTAATCTGAATCTGGGTGGGATCACATTCACATGCTCACCACATGTTCTGCTCATCAAATTACCTGCTTTACTCAACTTTCCCTTTTCACCAAGAATAGAAAACTAAAGGCCTCTATTTTATTTAGGTTTAACCACAGCTGATGTCACACAGTGGAGAAATAAAAAACATCCAGGCGTGAACTAGCCAAACTTTAAAGGTGGGCCTGGGCATAGATCTACACTTTGGCACAGAGTAATAAATGAATCCCTTTATTCCCCCATTGTCTTTATGTCAGGCTGGTTACACACCTGCAGCTCCGGATTTAAGACCAAAAAAGGTCAAAAGGTAAAATCTGAAAACTAAGAATCTTTAAAAATCATAACACACATGGTGATCATTCTTTGTCCTGAAGATGAGCTCAGGGTTGGGGGTTTGAATATTAAAGTTCATAGGAAGCTTGAGGAAAGTTTCTGGAAAACGTCACCAAGTGATGAAGAGTGACAGAGATGCTGCCTATTTGTTGGAGGTGATCAATTAAAAGCAGAAACTATCTCACAGCTCAGGAAATATTATCTGGAGACTCAATGTAGAAGGTAGTAGTTGTTAATAAACATTGTTTTTGTGGCACTAAGCAACCCGCCTGCAGCTGCCTCTGTTGGACTGGGGCCCTTTGGGAGATGTTGCTATCTAGAACAAACACCATATCTGGGATTAAACAGGTTTGTTTCATGGAAGTGTTCAGCTTTCTCTGGAAAGAACCTGCAGTGATGTCATTCGCAGGTGACGCACTGGGATGTCAGAGAACCATCAATTCACCAGGAAATCAAACGCCATCTGGGGATTTTTGTTCATAGTCTCAGACAGCTGGGTTTGTTTATTTTGCTTTTAGTTTATAGATCAATTAGCTATGAGTGAATAGCTAGCTAGAATAGGAATATGCAGACACA